CGTCTCTGAGTCTCCTTTTCCCCAGTCGTGAGGGAGAAGAGAGTGGGAAGAGATTAAAGCACTTTCTAGGGGCGCCTGGCTGGCTCAGTCATTAAGCGTCTGCTTAGGTCATGATCCCAGGGTCCTGGGATCAAGCCCCGCATCGGGCTCCTTGCTCCGTGGGGAGCCTGCTTCTCCCTCTCCCACTCCCCCTGCCTGTGTTCCCTCTCTCTCTGTGTATCTCTCTGTCAAATGAAAAAAATTTTTTAATTAAAAATCTTAAAAAAAATAAAGCACTTTCTAGAACTATGTATAGATTCAATAAGATGAATTGCACAAAAGCCTCTGTCCTCGGAGGAGCGTGGGAAGGGCCGAGGACTGGGTGACCTGGAGAACACGGGGGCCTGGGCAGGCTGTCCCCCACATGTCCAGGCCGTAATAAGGCAGACATAGCTGGAGGAGGAGTCCTGGGGGACGTTGGTGCCAGGGAGGCTCGAGGAGGCCACCACTTTGAGAGCCACCTCCTCAGGCTTCAGACCTCCAAGAGAGCCTTTCCGGGTGTGGGGCCCACATTGGATCTGGTCAGTGCGTGAGTTCTCCAGCCCAACCAGAGATGATGAGGTTTTTATGAGTTAGAAATGGTTCCATGTTGTCTGGCTTCAAACGGTACTTAAGAAAACCATCATCCTCCATGGTTACTTACTGGGCAGATGGTCGTCACGGGCATCCAGAATCATTTTGCAGCAAGTTGGAGCTCAGGCTGGGCCTGAAACCTCGGGATGTCTTTGAGAAACCCCATTCCCAGGCCGTGCAACCCCTGCATCCTGGTTCCCAGGTCCCCAGACAGACCATGAGGAGGGACATGGGAAACCCCCAGCCTGTCCATGCGTCGGGACTCAGACCCTGCCCACAGAGTCACTGACCTGCAGCTGCCATGTCTTAGGCTTTACCCACCCTGGGGGACACACAGGAGGCTGTTGACATCAGGGCGCCATGTTCTGAAGGCCCAAAGGCCCGTCCAGCCAGTTACTTCTTGGGATCCCCAGTAGGCACCCCTTTTGTGCCTCTGAGCTGGTGCTTATGCCACGTGCTCTTCTGTTCACTAGTTCGGCACGGCAGCCGTCTCCCCTAAAATTCCATCCGCATGGGTCGGGAACCTGAGGCCCAGAGAGGCTGAGTAACCTGCCCCAGGTAAACAGCTTCCATGTCAGTCAAGTCTTTCCCGTCCTGCACTGCCCCCACCTGGCTGGTGTGTGTTGCCCACACCTCACGGATACCCCTGTGGGTGGCATCCCCCGCCGCTGTGTGGGTCCCACGCAGCGGTGGGGAGAACAGCACGGTCTGGGCTTCATCATGCGCAGATTTTCCAGCTGGAACCGTTTTCCCAACAGCATCCTTAGGCAAGACCTGTCCTCCCCCTCAAAGCCTCAGTTTTCCCATCTGTACATAGCAAGCCAATCAGGACCTACTACTCCCAGATGCCTCCCAGGGCAGCCTGAATGTCTGAGTGTGTGCTGACGGTGGGAGAGGTTTTCCCACTGGAGAAAGGAAGGGAAAGAGAAAAAACAGCAAGGAGAAAGTTCTGGGGCAAACCACTGGGCCAGAGGCCTGCTTTTGCTTATTGGCACAAAAGGTTGACCAGTTGTCGATTTGTGAGTTGTTCACACTGAAGCCTCTAGTATCTGGTTTGGGCTGGTCTGGGAGAGGGTTCAAGAGCATCAGGTTCATTCTCTTCCTCTACCAAGGCCCTTTCAGTTGGGAGTCCTGTCCAGCCTGCTGGGCCTGCAGCCCCACAGGCCCTGGATGCCTGAGGATACCCAGGCCCTGCCCCACTCCAGGCCTGCTGGGAACTTCCCCAAACGCTCTGGGAGACGGGGCACTGCACCCTGCCTGGGCAGCTGCTTGCCTGTGAGCACCCCTCCTCCTTGGTCCCTCTGCCTAACCATGCCACCCAGGAGAACCACCAGACCAATCCATTCGTTCAGCCGCCTCAGCGAAGGCAAATGTCTTCATCTGGCTTGAGTTAACGCAGACAGAGAATTTTATAGTCGTACCCAGTAATGACCAGCAGGAAACCATGGTGTGCTTTAGCTTTCAGACCCAGGAAGAGCCTGGCTTACTGTCCCACCTGGGGGCCCCTTTCCTGCCTTGTCCCTCATCTCAGCCTGAGACCCAAGGCAAGCAGCCTTGCTGAGCCGAGCATGAGCTTCTGTGGCCTGGTGAAAGCCCAGAAGCCGGTGACCAGCGCCCTGGGCCTTGTGAATGAAAGTGGGCCTTTTCCCTCCTACAAGCAGAGGAGCATGATGCTGTGTGTGCCAGTGGGGTTCCCATTCCCACACCCTCGCTCTCCCTGAAAACAGATGTGCCCAGAGAGGAGAAAGGGCCTAATACCAGGCCAGCTGTGCACAGGAGCTGGGAAGGAGACCAGGATGTATGTTTTGGCCACAACGGGCCTGAGATGTTGGTGAGATCCACATAGAGATGTTAGGTTGGCAGGTGACCGAGCGGCGTGGGCTCAACTGAGGTCATGGACCTGGAGGTGCTCCATAAGCTGCAAATCCCTCACCAGGGTGAGGAGCTGTTGTCTGTTATGAAAGTGCCAGAATCTCGGCCGTGCCAAGTCAACATGGCCCATGGGCGATTCCAGCACAAAACTCAAGGTCTGCGTCGGGTATTGAGGAAAAACAAGGGCCATATGACCGGCAGGAATTTCTGCTCTCAGAACTCAGGGCTGCATCACTTATATGGTCAAATGATCTTCAACAGAGAGGCCAAGGCTGTCCAGCAGGGGAAAGACAGTCCCTTCAACAAATGGTGTTGGGGAAACTGAATATCCACATGTAGAAGAATGACTCAGAGCCCTTACCTCACACCATACACAAAAATTAACTCAAAAGGTTAAAAAGGCAACAAAAGCAAAAATAGGCAAATTGGACTACATCAAACTTAAAAACTTCCATGCAGCAAAAGAAACCGTCAACAGAGTGCAAAGGCAACTTACAGAACGGGAGATGATATTTGCAAGCCATGTGCCTGATAAGAGGTTAATATCCAGAAAATGGAACTCTGGCCATTCAACAACAACAAAAATCCAACTAAAAAATGGGCAATGACTAAACATTTCTGCAAAGGAGATATACACATACAGATGGTCAACAGGCACATGAAGAGATGCTCAACAACACTAATTATTAAGGAAAGGCAAATTAAAACCACCATGCAGTATCACATTATACCCCTTAGGGCAGCCACTACCAAAATATAAATTAATTAATTAATTAATTAATTAATTAAAATATAAAACAAAACCCAAGTGTCAACAAGGCTATGGGGAAATTGAAGCCTTCATTGGTGGGAACGTAAAATGGTGTTGTCAGCATAGAAAACGATATGGAGGTTCCTCCAAAAATTAAAAATGGGATTACTGTATGACCCAGTATATACCTACTGCTTGTAGGTATACATCCAAAAGCACTGGAAACAGGATCTTGAGGTGGTAGTTTTACCCACATGTCCATCCCAGCACTATTCACAATAGTCAAGAGGTGGAAACAACCCAAGCATCCATCACCGGACAAGATGAATGGATGAACAATACGTGGTGTATACATACGATCACCCCCAGACACCTGCAAAGGTTTTAGGGTGTAACATAGCACAAAGGGGCCCCCTCCACATCCAGAGGAGTCTTTCTTCTCTCTCTCTCTCTTTTCCTTAAAGACCCTCCCTCCTCATCATTCAGGACTCTCCTGAACAAAAGTCTAGAAGGGCCGTTGGCCCTGGGCTTCTTCTGCTTTTCCACTCCGTCCCGATCCCTGGTCTGGGGCGCACAGTGACTGCCCGCTTGAAACCAGGAGGAAAGAAGGAAAATTCATACATACAATTTTTTTTTAATTTTTTTAAAGATTTAATTTATTTGTTTGAGAGAGGGAGAGCACAGAGGGAGAGGGAGAAGCAGGCTCTCCGATGAGCAGGGAGCCTGACATGGGACTCGATCCCAGGACCCCGAGATTATGACCTGAGCCGAAGGCAGACGCTCAACTGACTGAGCCACCCAGGCTCAAAATTCACCCACGTGAATTTTTTAGTAAACCATCCTGCCTCGGACCTGATTCATGGACAGCCTCTGCTTCTTCCCTTTGGTTGTTCCGGGGATTTGGGAGGGAGGTTAAGGTTGACTTTGATAGGAAAGAGCAGTTCCTTGCAATACCGACCGAACCTGTAGATCTACCGCCCCCGGGGCCCCAGCAGGCCAGTGTGCAGCCGGTGGGCACCATGGACGGAGAGGTGTCACATGCATCTCAAACGGCAGTCTAGTACGTACACCTTCACTTCTGCACACCTATTCCCCCAGCACCTGAGAAAACATCCCCTGACTCGGGGCCGGGGGCTGGTCGGCATTCTCCTCCTTCAGCATCGTGGTCGCTGGGTCTGGGGACTGATGTGAGCATAGTGGGGAGAAGGTGGAGGCAGGGTGGTCCGCATCACAAATTCAGAAAGGCTTCACAACCTATGGACGGAGGATGCGTTGGGGTGGACCTTAAGTGCAATCAATCACGAGAAATTCATGAGCCGCTCCCCCGGGGTTGTGGGGGAGGGGTGCGGAAGGTTCTGGAGGGCGGAGGAGGGTTAGGCGGTGGACAGAACAGTACCTGCTGTTCCTGAGTTCAGGCATTTGGAAGGCCACGGTAGTGTATGTGGTGTGTCGTCTCTAACATTTTACCTTGGGGGATATTGAAAAGCGTTTGTCGGGGCTTTCGTAAAAGGACTCCCAACCTCGCTCGGCTCTATTGTCCCAGATCCAGTTTCTCAGAGGCAGACTCTTCTGCCCTTGCAGTTCCAGGGAGTCAGTCTCTGGGAGTGGAGAATGACTCGTGAAAGACTGGTGACTGGATGGCGAGGAAGGGGAAGGATGCCGCCAGCAGGGCGGTGGGCGGTGGGCACCGGCGCGGGGTGGGTGGGCTGCACCCAAGCCTGCTGGCTTCCCTTCTCAACCAGTCTGTCTTTGTTCTCCTGCCCAGGCCCTCCCGGACGGCGCGGCAAGGCTGGAAGAAGAGGCGACCCCGGTGAGTCCCCGGTTTTCTTGGTTTCCAAACCCAGCCCTGGAAGTCTGCCCTTGACCTTGAGACCTGACCTGAGCCCTGGCCGGAGGTGCTGGTCCCCACCCTGCCCCATAACTCGGGATGCTCAGACCCGGAGCCAGGCCTTCCTCTCCCTTCCAGCTGACCATTGTCCCCCGAGTCATGGGTCCAGTACTGCCTTAGCTTCTCGGTATCTGCAGTTCCAGGGACAGTCCCTCTGTGCCCTTGGCCACTCCCTGAAGGTCACTGTCAGCCCCTGAAACATCCTCTTCCCTTTGTGGGGGCTGCCGATGGCCCTCCTGGGTGCGTCCCCTGCCCTCCCCAGACCTGGACTGTCCTTCCCCTGACTCCTCGACCTCCCTGCCACACAACCCGCAGACTCACCTCTACTCGCCACCCCCTCCCTCCTGCCACCTTCATTTCACCCAAAATGCACTCACCCTGCACAGCCCCAACCCCCAAGACCGTGAAGTTTCCAGACCCCCCTGCCCCCACGCCCACTCCCCACCTCGCCTTCCATCATCCCAGGCTTCTGGTCTCTTCACGGCCTTGCCGGTGACGTCAGCTTGGCCGGAGTCACCGCCGACCGCAGTGTCCCTGGCTCGGCGCCAGCCTGCATGTACTCCCACATCTCCCACCCCTCCCTCTCCACCTGTTCCCTAGGACCCCACTTGCCTCTCAAACCAGCCTGCCCGTGGCCCTCTTCTGTCCTCTCTGCCACCCCCGGGGCTCCGGCTCCCCCATGATGCTTTCGACGCCTCCACCCCAGTCATCTCTGGGCCCTGAGGTTGGAGGTGCCCCCCCAAACCCAGCACCCCCAAAACTCAGCACCCCCAAACCCAGCACCCCCAAAACAGCACCCCCTCAAAACCCAGCACTGCCCCAAAACCCAGCACCCCCACAAACCCAGCACCCCCCAAACCCAGCACTCCCACAAACCAGCACCCCCCACAAACCAGCACCCCCCACAAACCCAGCACCCCCACAAACCCAGCACTCCCCCAAACCAGCACCCCCCACAAACCCAGCACCCCCACAAACCCAGCACCCCACAAGCCCAGCACCCCCCAAAACCCAGTACCCCCAAAACCCAGCACCCCTCCCCAGAACCCAGCACCCCCCAAAACCCAGCACTCCCCAAACCCAGCACCCCCCAAAACCCAGCACCCCCAAAACCCAGCACCCCACAAACCCAGCACCCCTCAAACCAGCACCCCCAAAACAGCACCCCACAAACCCAGCACCCCTCAAACCCAGTACCCCACAAACCCAGCACCCCACAAACCCAGCACCCCTCAAACCAGCACCCCACAAACCCACCCCCACCTGCTGTTCTCTGGCTCCCTGCCGTCCCAGGGAGACCTCCGGCCACTGCTTCCCTGTGCAGACCCCAGGGCAGCATCCTCGATGCCTTCCTTCCCCGTTCCCACGCCGAGTCCCGGTCAGTCTCCCCCTCCGAACACCTTGGACCCGTGCCCCCTTCTGTCCAGGCCACCACCGCCTCTCGGGGCTCTCCCCTCTCCTCCCACTATGTCCCCCACCTCCAGCTTCACCCAGGGGGTCGGAGCCTCCCACTCTGAGCCCGCCCAGGGTGTCTCATCCTCTACCTGGACTCTCGGCCCAAGCTCACTACCCTTTTGTCCTTATATCTAGAGAAAGCCTTCTCGAACCCGGCTGGCTGGGGGCTCTCACCCCGAGTCTTCAGAGCCCAGCACACAGTAGGCTCAGGGAAGGCAGGTGCACACAACAGGGAAGGAATGAACGCGCCCATGCTCAGCCCCTAAGCAGCTTCACCAGGACCCCAGGCAGATCGCACCCCGCGGGGAAACGGGGCAGGTTCTCTCTGCGCCTCTGAGTCTTCTCCCGGGCCCTGGGCACGGGCTTCCTGCCCCCTGTACCACTGCATGCTTGCCTTATCTCATTCCCTATACAGAGGACTTACAGACAAGCTCCCTAGAGTTCACTGCTAGGAAATGCCCTTCATGGATCTCTGCTCCCTTTGACTTCCAGAGCTGAAGGCTCTTTTGTGTTTGATTGCTAGGACTTTTCTTTACTCTGGGTTTTGTGTGTAATCACCCACAACCCACGCCCCTCCACACACACACTACCAGCTCTCCAAAAACACACAGCATCACTCAGTTCTCCTTTCTACCCTTGTAAAAGGTCTCATTGCATTTTATCGTAAGCTTCTGGTGTCCTTTTTGGAAGGAAATGAGGAATACTTAGGGACTTTTTTTTAGGATAAAGTATAATATTACTCAGCTTCCTCAAAAATCCATTTAGAATTCGGCCTCCACTTTAAGACAATCTAAAAGTCAAAGACAAGGATTTACTGGGCTCTGGGCTGGGTCCTTTCAAGTTCTTCATCTAATGTGACCTTCACAGGGCCCTGCAAAAGATAAAAATATGGTATCATCCCCATTTTGCAGATAAGGAAACTGAGGCTCCAAGGGGATGTCTTGTGTAAGGTCAGCTGCTGGGCAAGGGGTAGGCAGGCCCTCCTCCCTTCAGTGACCTTTCCCACACGGGGTCCTGATTCTCTGCCTGTCAGGGAATGGTGTGAGCAGCACAGAGCAGATGTCCCTCTCAGATTAGCTTTGGCGGGGCCCCCTGTTTATTTCCAGATAGTTTCGCATACATGCACATCCTGGCTTTGGCGCCTTCCCTTGCACAAACCAGGCCTTTTCCTGCGTCCCAGGGAGAAAGGCTCTTTTTGTCTGGTGGGCCAGTATCTGGCCGAGATGCCTTCCTGCTGCTGCCGCCTCCGCCCCAGACCTGCAGACAGAGCTCACCCTGCCCGTGGGAGTCTTTGCCTGGAAAACGCCTCCAGAGCCCTGCAGTGTTTATGCGTCTCCATTGTAATGGAATGGATTTCTCATCTCCCCCATTTCTCAGCCCGAGAAGCCCAACACTGCTCTTGCACTCTGGGGTCCTCTTTCTAGGGACCTTGGGCAGGATTCTTTTTCCATCTAGACCCGCCTATCCCCAAGAGCCTCCACTCTCCCCGGCTCCCCCTTCCCCAGATACCTCCCTCTGTCCCAGCATTTCTACACCTGGCTGCGGGGGGTCTGCTCTGCACACCTGTCCTTCTCCAGCAAGGCAGGGGCTCCTCAAAGCCGGGACCGGACCCCTAGGCACTCAGGAGACCGTCAGTAAATGCTTGTTGACAGGAAAGAGGGAGGAAAGGGAGGAGGAAGTAAGAAAGAGGGACTGGTGGGTAAATGATGGATAAAGGGTTGGGAGACACAAGGACGAAGCAACCGAATGCTGCTTGGCTGGTGGCCATGCTACACCTGCGGAGGCAAATGGAGGTGCTCACCCCATCTCTGCAGCTGCCAGCCTTCGATCAGCAGTCTCGGTGCTAGGGTTCTATTGTTGTTGTCTTTGCTTTAAATGGATTTGTGCATTTATTCGTGCCAGTATGCATTTGAAAGTACATCTCTGTGCAGAAGAGATTTATTCATTCTACTAATGATGCTTCCTTTGCATTTGGATTTGAGGACCCTTAATTATGCATATTACACATGCGTTCCCCAGGAGTCTAGGGCTCTTAGGGTAGGAAAGAGTTCTATGAGTCCCACTGGAAAATTCTAGAACAGGAGCCATATAGTTGGCAAATGACTGTAAGAAGATAATCGTTGATGTTTTGTGTTCGGATTCATACAACAATGTTCTCTTCCTTTGTTCCGTGGCCCACGGAGACCATAGTATTGCCATTCCCTTCCTTCCCTGGACCGTGGGGGCCATTCTTAGGTCTCAGAGTTCCAGAAGTTTCTGGGATTTAAGAACTAAGACCAATCATGCAGGTCTGTCTTTGCCATGTCAGTGCTAGGGTTTTTAATCTACCCTGACCCCAAGAAACCCTTTCTAAAAATCCAGTGGAAGAAGCACTTCTGGAATGGTAGAGTAAGGACCTCTGAAAATCTGCTTCTCCATAAAAAGCAGCAAGAACACTAGAGGAAAAAATAGACCTTTTCAGAACTCTGGAAATTAATGTCTAGTAACAACCCAAGAAATGTTTATTCAAGACAAATATCTTGCTAAGAATAGTGAGGTTTGTAGCATTTTAACTCGCCCATTTCCCAGCCCCATGGTAGCCTTAAAAACCATCAATCTCACAACCACAGTACCTGTGAAAAGTAGCAGCCACTGAAGGAAGCAAAACAATTTGAAAGTCCCTAACTGCTCATTCCCAGAGATTTGTCATTATCTGTCAGCTTCCAGGAAAAGCCCATACACAGGACTTGTCTCTATTTGACCTGATGCAGAGCTCACTCACCGGGAAATCTCTATCCCGGAGTGCTTGCCAAAAACACTCAGCAGCAATTGTTTAACGTCACAGCTGCCTAAGGTAGCAACACCAGTTGGAACAAGGAAGAAGCTGACACAAACACTTAAATGAAAATCTAGGGGATGAGCCACCCAGAGGGGCTTTGAAATGCTCCAGCATATTGCTGGGACTCCAGAAGGCACATTCATGTGCAAGGCTGTGTACATGTCCACAAAAGACCTGAGAGAACCCCAAGTCTCACTTCTGGCTGACCTTGAGGCCCTGCTCAAGCAGGAAGTGAAGGCAAAGGCAGAATTGTAACCTGGCAGAGCACTGGAGTTGTGTTCCAACACACACAACGAGCCCCTTGGCACAGAATGGGAGACGTACTGGATCAAGGCATTAAAGGACACCTCTGTCTCAGCTGACCATTAAGCTAACCAAGAGAGAATTCAGAAACTGCACATGACAAAGAGTATACACTTTGGAGAATTAGTCCAGGAAAACCCCTAAGCCAACAAAGAGCAACAATAATGACAAACAGCAACAACAAATCCTGGAAAGGAGGATGGATATCTAATTTCCAGAGTAGCCACATTAGATTCTTTGAAATGCCCAGTGTTTAACAAAAAATTGTGAGACACACAAAGATATAAGAAAGTATGGCAATGAAAAAGGAAAAAAAACAGTCAATAAAAACCGTCTGTGAGGAAGC